TGTGCAAACCAGCAGCCCATTACAAATTGCTGCCCAAGGGCCTGCTGGGCTCTCAGCTGTTGCCCACATCCCCAGTGAAAGTATGTTGAAAGCATGATAGCAGATTTCTAGGGTCTCTGGGGATGCCTGAGCCTTAGGGCTCCGTGGGGAAGCTGGGACGTGGCCCTGGTCTCCCTGCTCACAGTCATCTGGCCCAGGAGCCCCAGGGCATTAGGGATGGGATATAAAAGGTGGCCCCGAGTGCGCCTGCATGTGGGTCCTAGTCAGACCCCTAAGAAGTGGCTCATTGGAATCCCAGCCCTAGGAGTCATCTGCCTTGTATTCCCTTTATGTTTTGTGCCTTAGAAGAAATCATCTCTGAGTCTACCTTTTGAGATGCAGTGCTTTCATTTTCCCCTTGGTCATACCTTAGCCACTGGCACTTTTTTATTCCCACCTTTGGGTTTTCTTTTCTTCTATGAAAGAACTACCCCTCCCCGGCTCTCTCTAGGCCTGTCCCAAGTTGTGTTCCTGCTAGCTCTGTGTTTTCCTAGCACTGCCTTCTCCTCAGGTCCTGGGCTGAGGATGCTGTAAGTTTTCTGAAAGCTGAAGCTGAAGGAGGGATTAGGTGCCATTCTTACAAGCTCAGCACCTTAATGTGGAATCCTGCTTGTACTTGTGTCTACCTGGCATTGCTGCCCTCACCTGTTAAACCTTTTAGGCATCTCTTCTGCTGACTCCTTTCTGGTTTCTACTGTCAACTTTCATAGCGGCTTTTTAGAAATCTCTCACGTAGGAAATGCCAGTGGAGTTGGTTCTGCCGGTGGCATTCACCAGCATCCATCTGCAGCGTAAAATGGATATGTCAGATTGGGCCTCCCATGGCTCTGCCTGTGGAAGGCTGACAATTGGTGAGGGTGTCTGCATGCTATGTGCTACATAGTTGCCATGCTGTACAACTCCAATGAGCACCGTTTATGAATGCGCACGTGGCGTCCCTGCAGTCTAGCATTTCCCGGGAGTGTGGCATCACATGGAGTGCCTATGCTGTCTGCTGGGCCTGCTCTCCAGGAAGTGGGGCAAGGCTGTTCTGCTTATGCAGCCTCCCTGGTCTCTCCTAGGACTACTACGGAATTCCCTTTGCTACGCCCACAGCCCTTGCCAGCAGAGATGGGAGCCTCACTAATAACCCATATTCAGGTTCGTCTTAGTTCAAGAGACGGGGGTGGAATGGGGGTGTGCATGACTGGCCTGTAGCTAATCCCAGGCATCTGGAAACAGAATGGCTAAGAGACGCCTGCTAGCTTCCCAGTGGTGAGCTGGCAGCCAGACCTATTTTGATTTGCAGGAAGCAGCCTGGCTTTTCCCCTGGTTGGATAAGGGCAATGACTAGAATGTGTTGTTCTCCTAGGTGATGTCACAAAGTTTGGCCGAGGTGACTCTGCATCCCCTGCGCCCCCTACCACACTGGCTCAGGCACAGCAGAGCCAATCCCAGGCCCACCACACCCCCCAACAGCCCTTTCTGAATCCTGCACTGCCACCTGGCTACAGCTACACTGGCCTCCCCTACTACACAGGCGTGCCCAGTGCCTTCCAGTATGGGCCCACTATGTTTGTGAGTATCTGTGGGGATTGTAATTCCAGCTGTGGGGAGCAGAAGCAGGGAGAGAGGGCCATGACCCCACTTAGAGTCTCACCTGGCCTTCAGGAATGTTTTAGGCTGGGGGTTAGGTTGCTTTTCTATTTTTAGATCTAGCATGTGTTGAATCACTCCTGAACACTGGTCCCTTGAGATTGTGCCACGTGCTGCCTTACACTAAACCAGGGGTGCCTGATCTGATCCTCTAATGCCTCTCCTGATCCTCTAATGCCTCTCCTGCTTGCCCCGCCAGGTTCCTCCAGCCTCAGCCAAGCAGCATGGTGTGAACCTCAGTACCCCTGCCACCCCTTTCCAGCAGGCCGGTGGTTATGGCCAGCACAGCTACAGCACAGGTGAGGGGCGCTCCCAGCATGGAGACATGGGTAGGACAGGCTTGCCTAGCTCACACGTGCCTCTTATACCTTGCTGTGCTAGGTTATGATGACCTGACCCAGGGGACAGCAGCGGGAGACTACACCAAGGGTGGCTATGGTGGATCATCGCAGGCACAAAACAAGTCTGCAGGTTCTGGGCCTGGCAAAGGTAGCGTCTGCCCCTCCTTTCCAGGACTGAGGCCCAGAGTAGTTACATCCTCCCTGACTCCTTCTCAGGCAAGGCTACCCCGGCGCGCCCCTGGAGGTGGGGTTGCTGGAACTGGGACCAACTGCTGTGGAAACTGCTTTTCCTCCTAGGAGTGTCTGTGTCTTCAAGCGCCACTGGCCTACCTGATATGACTGGTTCTGTCTACAACAAGACTCAGGTGAGGAACTAGTGGGTGTACAGGTTGGTGGGAGGTGCAGCCCAGGCTGGTCCTCACCATTGTGTCTTTGCTCTACAGACTTTTGACAAACAGGGATTTCATGCAGGGACCCCTCCACCATTCAGCCTGCCCTCAGCCTTGGGTTCCACTGGGCCCTTGGCCCCTGGAGCAGCTCCTGGTTATGCACCCCCACCATTCTTGCACATCCTACCTGCCCACCAGCAGCCTCACTCACAGCTGTTACACCACCACCTTCCCCAGGATGCCCAGGTGAGCCCAGTGATGGAGGCAGCCACCCTGCCCTGGGTTCAGGGTTCTGCTCCAGCCTTGACAGCCTTCTCTCCTCCTCAGAGTGGCTCGGGTCAGCGCAGCCAGCCCAGCTCCCTACAGCCCAAGTCACAAGCCTCCAAACCTGCTTACGGCAACTCTCCGTACTGGACAAACTGAACCCTGAAGAGTGGGTGGGCTGGGGTGGGGCTTACCCTGCGCAGGAGAGAACACATGGAGCCCATTTCTGGGAGCCCGGCACCCTTTCCTAGAATTCCTGAGACATGTAACTGTGTCAGCCGAGCCTCTGTGGGGAGCCTGCCTCCCAGACTCGCTATTGTATGTAATGTATTTATGTATGTATTTGTAAATGTGACAAATCTTGGGGAAGTGGGAGGAGAAGCAGCTGCTACTCCCCGCTCAAGCCCCTTTTCACTGTAGCAAAATAAGCCCCTCCCCCTTCTGCCCTGAAGCCTTCCACATAGCCTCCCTGCCTGGAGGTTCCTAGGGGGGTATCTGGAAGGGCTGGATTACGACAGTTGGGTAATGGGGTCAGGTACCAATGAAGAATCACGACTTATCTCGTGCCCTCATAAGCCATTATTTTGAGTTTTCTTCCCTGTGTAATTACTTTATTCCTCTTTTTGAGAAAGTGGTCCTGTTGTCATCCGTCATGTTCCCCTCCTGCCAAATTTTGATCTGGGAATAGCAGACATTCTCCCTGCCCAACATCAAAGTGGCACCTGTTTGTCTTCATGTAGAACAGGGGCATCTGCTTCTGGTCTGGTCTTGTCCCCAGAGACTTGCCTTCCGCTGGCTGACCATTTTAATAATAATCTGAATTTGTGCTCAGAGATGTTCAGCCAGTCAGCTCCCCTTTTAAAAAAATCAAAGATATGCTCCATGAGAGCACGTCTCCATGCAAAGGCTCCTCTATTCCAGTTGTCCTGAACCAGGTGGACAACTGTTTCAGGGGTTTTCTCTTTTGCCCGAAGTCCACCTAATAAAGTTCTGAGAGCATGCACAGTCTCCGTGTGGTGTGACTAAAGGATAGCTCGGGGCAGAGGCCATCTTCATTATGATTCCAGGGACTCTTGGACTTCACAGGGCTGAAGAAGAGAGCTCACGTGGTCACAGTCTTCCTAACAACAGGCTGTGAAGGCTTAAATTGGGCCTTGGTCCCACCATCGGCATCCAGGGAGTAGAAAGGTGAATGATACTGATACAGCTGAAAGGACTGAGAAAGCTCCTGACCAGACACTGGAAGTGTTTGCCGAAGTTAACTTGCTTTTCTTGCAGCTCTGTAACAGACTTACAGGCTAGGCAGTCTCTTACAGGCTCCATCAGCAATAATACTAGGGCAAGGTAATTTCTTTTCCAAAGGACAAAGGTAGTAATTACAAACGTGGTCCTAGGCCTGTGAGAGACTAAGTTTGAAAAGCTAAACCTTGGCTTTTCATCAGCTACACACAATCTTGATTGACAGTCAAGGCTGTAGTAGAACAGGTGACTAAGGAGTCAGCCTAGGACCCACTTACCTACTTCATACCACCCTAAGTATCTGCTCCAGGAAATCCCATGAACCTTTCACCTCGAACCAGGATTCAGGCTTCCCCCTAAGCTCGCCCAGCTCTCCCTCTTGCTTCCAGGCCACCAGGAGCCAGGTTTCCCCACTTGTCTGAGGCACAACTGTGCTACAGTCTGGCTGGCAGCTCAGACTTAAGAGGTGTTGCATAGTCACCCCTTTGGACTAGGATAATTAAGCAAACAAAATGAGCATTGCTCCAAATCAAGCATTGGTCAAGTCAATATGCCAAAACCCAGCCCAGGGCCACTCTTCACCTTTTCTACATTCGCCTTTAAAATCAATGATCATTTCATAGATTGGACACGTTCTGCTGTTAATTCACAGCTTGGGATCCTGGCTTTAAAACACAGGCACGCGTGCATGTGCACGTCCACAACTGAAACTAAATGGAAACCTTTATTAAAACTGTGATCTGCTTGGTCCTTGCCTATAGCAGCAGGAAGTTGAGATGTGACAATGAAAACAAATGCCCTTCTAAGGAGGGCAGTGGAGCACCCCTCCATCCCTTCCACTGGCCTACTTGTGCTGGCAGATTGTGCCCTATTTCAGAAGTAAGGTTAACAAATGGCTGTGTCTTTAATAACCTTCCTTAGAGCTAGATAAGGATTGGGAATATTCTGCAAGGTGAGCTGAACCGAATGTCATAAAAGGCAGGTCAGCCAGAGTTGGTTTTAGTTGTTTATAACCTGAGTCCTGGGTATAATCTGCAAGGGAACAGCAGAGAGATACTGAGACCACCTTTTAGTTTTACCAAAAGAAAAAAAAAGGGTCATCCCATGGGGAAGTAGCAATACAGGTATATTTTATTTCACATTTTATTAGTAGACAGATGGGCAGAAAAAAGACAAAATAAACCACTAAAGGGGAAGTTCAACACAAAATGCATCAGATAATCTTTTCTCATAAGTTAAACTGAAGAAAAACACCTATAATTTCAGCTAAGAAAACTATTAAAGTCAGGTGTGACCTGCTGGTTTTAGAATAGTTGAAAATTGCATCTGAATCTTTTTGTAAATGTAAACCTTTTTTTTAAAAAATCAGGATGGGAGGGGTGGAGAGTTAATTTTCAGTAGAGATCTACACATTTTCCCCTTCAATGTCTTACTATAAGTGTCCCCAAAAATAAGGAAATAGCAATAAAGAAGCAAATAATTACCAGGGAAGAGGAAAGAATATGCTACCCCAAAAAAACAAAACCAAAAAAAACCCGTCTGGCTAATAGAAAAGAACTCCGGAATGATGTGAAATAGAAAGGGGAAGACTTTGAGAAGCAACAACGGAATCATGATATATTTTCTCCACCCAGCCTCAAAAAAACACAGACCTGAAGAGCACCCAGAGAGGCCTCCACTAGAATCAAAAGGAATCTAAAAATGCAGGACTTTTGAGCTTATTATACCAAATCAGCACAAAGTTCTAGCCTGAGATCTCCACTCCTAAAAGAGAAATTTACAAGCTCAAGTTTTCTTTTGCCACAGGATGTATGCTCAAGACAGAGCTCTGGAACCAGCATCTGGGTTTTACAAATCAGTGTGAGCTGTCAGAAAGTGTGTCTACCTGCTAGCAAATCAACATACCCCAGTCTTTTCTGATTGTACTCCTAATCAGAGGCAAACCCAGCCCTAAATAGTAACATCCCAAGGGGCTGAGAGGTACAACCTCCACTGGCTCTCTGGCTCCCTGAGTCAACGTGCAACAGGCCAACAGGGCCTAATGGGACAGGGCTGAGTAGTATAGCACCTCCCACAAATGCCAAGGTGCCTGGCCTGCCCTGGGAAAGAAATGCTTTAGCAGTAAGGGAAGAGCTTAATTATAGGGCTCTGAGAGAATTAAGACCAAGCTACCAGCTGTAAACGTGTGTGTGTACATGTGTGCGCACGTGCACGCGCGCGTATTTGGGGGTGGCTGGTAGGGGGTAATCAGCATTATGAGACTTGGGGCTCCAGAAGGTTTGCTGGTTATTTGGAAGCATTACTTAAGGAGTGCGGGAAGTCCCACTATCCTTCTTATGAGAGTTTGCAGTCTGTTTTGTCACAAAGAATTGTTTTCTGAATCTGACTGGAGTCACTAAATTCAGGGGTGCAAGTAGCCCTGGCCCCACGGGGACTGGACAGAATCTGGGATCAGACTCAATACTGTCCCATTTGAAACCTTAGCACGTTAAATGTTCTCACTTAGTACTAGACCAAACTTCAGAGGCCAGAGAGAGTTGCTGGGAATTAGTCAGCAAACATTTGGAGAGTTTGAAGAGCGAATGAAAACCCTGAGATCAGAAAGGAAGGAGGAGCTAAGGAAGTAAGCATCACCTACTCTGTCCTAGGATCCATCCTACCCTGTCCTTCATCAACCCTTTTGTTCTTTCTGAGCTAAAGATCTGAAGAAAAGGAGCTGACACTAGTGCACAGGGATCTGCAGTAGGATTATACTCAGTCTTTGCTGTACTTTCCTTCCAAAACCTGTAATTTTACATTTTAACGATTTTTCCCACTGAAAGAAAACTGCTCTTGTATGAACTGGCCAACTCCCATAAGAAACAAAACTCACCGCCCAGTTCTGAAGTCCCTGGTTGGTGAAGGCTGATGGATCTCAGAATTGATTGAAAAACACATGATTCACACCGGGAAAAATCAAAGCTGCAGCAATTGCATGGCAGGAAGCTCTAGCATCATCCAGACACTGCCTGCAGCCAACTCCCTTGGCCCTCCCAGGAGAGTCAAAGGAAGCCCAGGGCAAGCTCCATGCACAACTTCTGCTTGCACTCCACAGCCAGAGTACATTGAAAGGAGAGCAAAGTCCAGGTCACATCCAATGAGGAAAGGTAACCGGTCACGCATGTCTCACATATATCCACAGTTACACTAGCTCAATGAAAACCAAAATCTTAATACATGCACCTAGCATTAATACTGAGTAATTAAAACTGGCTACTTAAAAAAAAAAGTCCTCATGGTGAGAGTGTATTTTTTTGAGGGAAAGGCCTTGTTAAATATATAAAACATGTTTTCTCTCCCAACAGTGGTCACCAGTAGTTTTTACTTTTTTCCCCCAGCAGCATCAACCAAAATTGGCATAGTGATTTTTAACTCTTTGTTGCCATCACTAAGAGTTCACACACACTAATCCCCACTCTTGCCCCACTCCTTAGGGGTGGGGGAAGAACTCTGCCCTTAAAATAAATAGCAATCAAGTGCTCAGTTCTATGTAAAGTATCAATATTTATTTCAAGCTTTAGATCCCAATCGATTTCAAAAACCAAAATCTGATTTCTTTCCTCAGAATAGCGGAGGCCTCTGTGTTAGGATGATTTCCTGGAAGCTGAAGGGGCTCTGTGCCCTTAGGAACACATTTCATCAGTCTTAGCACAGAGTCCCTGATGCCCACTGTACCCCAGACTTTAGAAAGAGAAATAAAATTCACCACCATGGGGCTGAACAAATGCACACACACTAATGTAAATGGAGCAGCTAAACCTTGGCAATTTTTTCCTAAAGTTTGTTTTGTGGGATTTTTACGCGGGGTTTTTTTTTTTTTTTCCATTTTCTTTTGCTACCCAGCATATGCAGCACTTGTGAACTCCCAATGGGTTCCCAGCTTTAATCACATAAACGTCTTGATGAAAGACTATTTAATTCTTTAAGAATCTAAAAACAGACCAAACGTGTTTTGCTGTGAACACTTTGTGGAGACGAAGTGAGGCAGGGGTTTGGGTTTAAAGGAAAAAAAAAATCAATACAGTGATGGAAGGTTAAACAATGAAAGAATTCAGACATTCTGTGGAGGATTACCTTCTCTCCATTAAGAGGTCCATAAAAAGGAGCAAACTGAGATCCATAAGGGGAGTCAGCAGGAGCCGTGTTTGTTTTCCCCACCCCCTGTGATAGGTTTTTGCTGAGGGGCCACTGCTTGGTCCCCACTTGCTCCCCTCCCTTTGGCCTGAGACGGCAGGGCAGTACAGGGGCTTCTCGAAGAAGCACGTCACGACTCCTCATTCCCAGAATCATCATCGTCGTAACAGTCGGCATCTTCTTCCTCCTCATCTTCATCATCAATGTCGTCGTCATACAAGTCATAAAGCAAATCTGAGCTGTTGTCATTGGAAGGCACTTTAGTTTTGATGCAGTATTCCGCCAAGGTTGTGGGGACTTTCACTCCATCCTTTTCTGCTTCAGCTTTAGTGGCTGAAACCTGTTTCCTGAAGGGAAGAGGATAGTTTATTATGTAAGTCTCTGTCTTGAAGATGGATTTAAAATTAGCATTTCTAAATAATCAAGATTCCTTATGGCTCAGGTTTCTAAACTTTTAGTGCCTGCCTGAAAGCATGTGGCAGCCTCTCAGGTGCCATTCTGAAAGACACTTAATAATGACCTTTTGAAAAGCAATGGATCTCAGATTTTTTTTCCTCCTAGTCATTTCACTTCAATTTTTTAAAGACCTGACTGAGGCCTCTCAATTTCCCATTACTTCCCAAATCAGAATTGATGTGCCATGCTGTTATACACCTGTGTTTAGCAAACATGGTTCTATCTCCCTAAAGAGACTTTTTCTGTCCCCCTTTTACTGTAAAAATTCTCATTTATGAGGCATTACCTCTCCTAGGAACCCCACTGCATTATATATTTATTTCCACTCTATCTTGTTCAAGCTTGTGTAGATGTGCTCATATGGCCACCTGTTTCCTAAGTGTGAGGTCCCCAGAAGAGCTGTACAGCTTAATGACTTAGCAGAGTACATGACCCAAGAGTGGTGCATAATGATGAGTGAATTAAATGAAATTTAAAAACCTTAAATTAAGAAATACAAAGGATATACAAGTACCTCAGGAATAATTTAAGCATTACTCAGTTACCGAATCATACTTTCCCATGAAGGTCAGGCTCCAGCCCTGTTTTATGAAGCATTCTCATCTTGAATTTCTCAATCCACTCCTGCCCCTCTACAGATCCTTACTATTTATACTAATTATCTTCAATCTTTGGTGTATACCAGTCACCTTAGTGGCTGATAACAAAACACAGGTATCTAGATTCTATCCTTGTAATATCATTAAATCACTAAGGATTAGGGATGGAGAGGTTCTAAATGTTTTTCCAGTGGGCAGGAAACGGAACTGCTAATTCCGTAATTATTCAGCTACCAGATTACAAGCATTTCATTGCATGTTTTTGTTTGCCATTCTTGTCACTCAGATCTGAACTTAAGTATCACCTTAGAGGAGGCCTGTTCTGACAACCCAATTTAAAGGAGCCATCTCATCACTCCTTCACATCATCCTACTTACCACTATTTAGTTTCGTTTGTTTTATCTTCCTCATTTGCATCATGCTGACTAAATTCATAAAGAGGGACCCTATTGTATAAATTCTAGCGCTTACTGAACTATGCACATAACGTGCTGGAACTGTCCTTGGAACTCCACTTTAAGTATATAAAAATGCATTGTATTCAGGGAATTTATTGCAACTGAAGCACACCAATTCTTGGGTACTGTTATGAAAACTTTATGTCCTACTCAGGAAAGCATCAAAAGTCTAATACCTTCTTCTTTTATTTCCTTTTACACAGAAACTAAAGACCCAAAGAGTTAACTGATGAAAGGTCACATGAGGGATGGCAGAGATGGGAGTAGATTCCAAGTCTCCAGATTCCTATTCTAGGGTAATGTTGCTGCTGATAATGACAATACCCATCTTTGTCACCAAGAGGTGCTACTAATGGTCAAAAAGGCCAATAAACAATAGGGCTTCATTAACAAAAATTTTGAAAACGAAAGTACCTGGAATGTCTGGAATACCTTGGGTGCTCACTATACTTAATGGACATGCTGGAAGTCCAGAAAAACATAATCATCCCTAAAATGATTACGAGGGAGAATTGGCAAACTCGACTGGCTCAGAACCTACAAGTTTTGGTTCCCAAGAAATCAGATCTGTTGCACCATTATCTTATAGTATGTGTTTTCTCAAAAGCCACATTCATTAGGCTCAGGCACAAATCTCTTCCCAAACAATAAATCTAATTGAGAAAAATGGAGTAGACAATGAAGTTCAATTTAAACCCCTGATTCTAGGATATTTGATTCTAAGTATAAAAACTTGAACTTATCAATCAAACCAAAGATAAGCATCTTACCTAATGATTTCAGCATATTCTTTGTCTTTTCCTTTACTGTCCCTCCATTTCCTGAACATAACTGAAGCATCCACATTGGCTGGGGAGAAGGTGTTGGGCTCATTAAGCAATGAGATTACACTTAACAGTATAGTCCTAGAAACAGGAAAAAAGGGTCAACTACAAATAGTCATATTTACAGGATTCAAAATATTCTTTTAAATTTAAGACTACAATATTTGAGACCTTAGGGAAATGGAAATAGAGAATAATACAATTTTGTTTTCAGTACTCAGCAGGGTAGGCTAACCAGGAGACAAAAAGCAGAGGATATATGAGTCTAGCCTGAAATCATGCTGCTGGGCATAGAACTGTAGAAGGCACTGTCTCAACTGGCTACAATGTTCCAATCTGCAAAAAGTAGAGATCTGAAAGATTTTCAAGTAACAGCTTAAAAATTACAAGTGCAATGAGAAAAAACAAAATATTTATAGCTTCAAGGGAATCTTTTCATGGGAAAGGGTAAAAATAATACATCCAATTCTGATTATGGATGCTTAAAAAATCTAAAAAACAGTATTACAAACATTTGTTTTTTATTTTCCATATTTTTAAGGGAAGACAGAGGTAAAGAGAATGGCGGGGGAGGGGGGTAACTAGTCTCCTAATAACAGAAATCTTTATTAAAAAATTTTTACTAAGCACTGCCCTGGCCAGTGTGGCCCTGTTGGCTGGAGCACTGACCTGTACACCAAAGGCTGGGAGTTTGATTACCAGTCAGGGCACATACCTAGTTACAGATTCCATCCCCGGTTGGGGCATATATGGGAGGCAACCTATCAATGTTTCTCTCTCACATGGGTGTTTTGCTCTCTCACTCAAATCAATAAACTTTTTTTTTTTTAATTTAAAAAATAAATTGTTTTTTACTGAGCACTTCCTAGGTGTCAGAGGTACCAAGTGAGATGTTGGATGTAAAATAGTGAATGACAGATGTCATCCCTGAACTCCCAGGGCTTATATATCTTGTGGGAGATACAAACAGGTAATTTTCATCCACAGATAAAAACGGGTAATAAAGTTTCAGTTATCTAAAATGAGCACAACATGCTCCAAATTATTCCCAGGCTTTTTTCCCCCTAAAAGCTATGTGCATGTATGTAAGGAGAAAAATGGTAGGAAAAAATAGATTTTTCTACCTTTTCTCATTGGTGAGAGTTTATAGATTGTATTGTTGCAAAATAGCAAAAAATAAAGGGAGGAAACCAAGCAACTGATGTTTGATTTCATGAAACCTTTTCCTAAAAAGAGTAAAGAGTTTATGTTATATGAGTATACAAAATTGTGACACAGGCACTTTAAAAAAAATTCCCATGTAGTTAAAAATCCATTTCTCTCTCTCTCTCTCTCTCTCTCTCTCTATTAGGTTAGAAATAACTCCTTGCCCCTCCTGCCAAGATTCTTCTGGATTTCTCTAATAATTACATTTAAAAGATTCAAAGAAACTCATCACAGTTAACAATGGGAAATGGATTGACATAACAGCCTAAGAAAAAAGTGAAAAACATAGGTAGAAAATTCCATAAAGTCTGCTTCAGAAAAAAACATAAAACCTGTTAGAAGCGGGATAAGAAGTATGATATAAACAAAAAAATAGCTTTCATGGTCTAGATCAGCTCTGTATACACTTACAACTTTCTATGATGGTGGAAATGTATAATCTACTATGGTAACCACTAGCTATGTGTGGCATGTGCACCAAAGGAACTGAATTTTTAATATTAAATGTTTAAGTAGCCACATGTCTAGATGAATCACATTAATTTAGGGAATTTTCCCCACAAGTTCACCGAGTTGATTCTTCTTATAGCTTGTGTATATTAAAGTAGTATATTGGAAAACATAATTTTTAAAAAATGGCATACCATTCATTTCTACCAAAACAAGAGCTCACTTCTACCACCATGTATTCCTAAACTGAAATCCGTGATGCTTTCAGAAATATCAGGTACTACAGGGGACTGCGATACTAGTTAACTCAGCACATTTTCACTTCTTCCATACATCTGGAAAGCAAGTAGAATCCTTTCTTTTTTTGTACAGAGATTACATTCCATTGGTTCAGGCAGGGTAAATCTTCCCCCTACCATAATGCCACACCTTCATACAAACAACCTACTCAAACCCACAACGACAGACATACCAGCAAGTGCTGGCCAAAGGATTCCATCCATCTTGTCATGATGACTGGTTTAGGGATATGCATGTGACCCAAGCTGGGGCAATGAGGACCCTGCTGGGAACCACCATTTTTCTAACTTAATAGCAGAAAGAAATTTTATTCTTGTTGGAATATGGAAAGCATAGAGCAGGTGGCCATCTTTGTCACCAAGTGGTGAAAGCCTGCCTAATAACAAGGCCAAAATAGAGCAAAGCAGATTTGAGGGATTTTTTTCCTCAAAGATTACTAATGTAATTCAAAAGCAGCCCTGGCTGGTGTGGCTCAGTGGATTGAGCGCTGGCCTGTGAAGCAAAGGGTTGCTGGTTCAATTCCCAATCAGGGCACATGCCTGGGTTGCAAGCCAGGTCCCCAGTAGGGGACATGTGAGAGGCAACCACACTAATGTAATTCAAAAGCAATATCCCATTCAAAATTTCCCAACCAGTATGTTGTGGATGGGTTGCAGATTAATGATACCTATATTGATTCCCTCATCAGTTAGATGGGCTGGACGTGAGACAACTTGAGTCCCTGAAACAACTACTTCTGGCCAAAAAAGCATCTTCAGTTTACTACACTGTGATATACAGTATTTTTTTAAATATCATGACTGGAAAAGGTTCGGAGAAAATGCTGTACATACATGGTTTAAAATGTCTATCGCTTGTACCAAAATAATTTAACATAGGCATTACACCTGTAGCATGGTAAACTCTGCAAGGTAGTATTATTAATCCTGTTTTTTACAGAATGGAAGACTAAACTACTAAGAAAGTACTGGTAAAATGTACAAAATATGCTCTTATTTCGTTGTCATCTTTTGTTACTTTCACTATGTGTTTTAACATCTTTATTAATTCTTTTCCCCCTAGAAGAAAAAGAAGCAGAGGGCAGAGAGGGTTAACAACAGGTGAAAAGGGAAAGACTGACCAAATAATGAAACTATCAATGAAGAGGTTACTCAAGCCCATTAAAGGGATTGGTTTCCTGCAGATTATGAACAAAGGGGAAGGGATCAAGAAAATAACACACACTCTTTCTTAGTCTCATTCTGTCCATATAAATTCACAGTTCCACATGAAGCTCTGGTTTTTAGTAACAGAGTTGCATTTGTCCATTTAGACAACCTTCTGGCACCTGGATATCTACTTCTTGGATCAGCAAAATAGAATCTGAGGGCTCATCCCTGTATCTCAGTTCCCATAATGAAAAGGACCACTGCCATGCTCTAAATGTGGGTGCGGAAGAACAAGTCTAGTTACTAAAATATAGTGGTGTAAGTGTTTAACGTGTTACAGACCTAACCACTAAGAATTTGGGATAAAAATCAGAGTTGTTAAGTATTTTCACCTTCCTGCACAATCCCTGTAAGTACCACCATCATTCACAGAGTCAGAGACATGCCTAGAAATAAATGTGCCCCCTCCACCTCTGCTTTAAGCCATGGCGAGAGACTATGGTAGAAGTTTTTAAAAAGTAGAAAAATACTAAGAGAAGAATGGAAGTAAAGACAAAAGGATAGACAAAAGCACTCTGCATAGTCTTCAGGTTCCTGTTTCAGATCCTTTTGCCTGCTTCAGTATCTTTGAGATAATAATGGCTATCTTCTTTTGAATAAAATATTAATTTGTAAATAATAAAAACTGCCAAAGAAAATGAAGGTCAACTACTCACACACAAACACATGCAAATAGCAAACTAGCAAGTTGTAAAGTTCTTCAAAGCTAAGACATGTTTAGAAACAAAACTTAAGCATTTCAAAGAGACAGGAAATCAGAATTAGACATCTGACAAAATGGGTAATACTATATTTGCCCTTTTTCACATACAGACAGTGGTCAATGAGATGGGTCTGCCCTTTCTGGTACCTACTACTTCACCACAAGTACAACTCTGGTGGGGACGGCAAAAAACTGGCCCTAGCACACGCAACAAAATAAGATGTTCCAGGCTTATGGGTCTGCCTGGAAACTAAGAAGGAAAAGTTTAGAATTCTGCAGAATTAAGGATGGGCATTTTTCCTCCACTGTATACATATACCTTCTCCAAGGAGCATCTGAAATAGAAAGGGTTCACTCTTAAAAACCTAAATTTACTTGATTGTTAAAAATATACACATTAACATACACAGATGGAGATGCAGAGAGAGAAAGATGGTCATTGATTGAGATTCCTAGGTTTTACATGCTTAGCATAATTTGATGGAAAATGATGTATGGAGACATGAAGCCCAGTGCCTGACCCTTCTAGTTGACCTAAGTTCTTTTAATCTCTCACTTACACTATTTCAAAAGGTGGACTAGTAACACCAGAAGATGACCCATTTAAAACTCAGTCCTCTTTACATGTTTTCAAGATGGGAGAAGAATTTAAAGAGGACATTGTGGCAAAGAAGTCTGTTACAACTGTGAAAATGTGGTAGCTTAATGGGTCACACACTACAAAGTTTTTCTTTATGCTGGTAAAGCAGCCAACTAATATAACAGTTCCTGCTGTGCAGTCCTGAAACTGCTGTTGACTGACATATCCCTGAGGACACGTGGTAGGAATGAAAAGTCTCAGATTAAAATACAGGGATGTGCGAAAGGTGGTTTACAGCCATTTGTATAGGAAATAATACAATAATAAATAATGGAAAAATAAACAGTCTTTCATGTACTCACAATTGTAAACCTACTTTTGGCCCACCCTGTACATCTATTTACTTAACACTTCCTAAGTATACTGAATTGAACAAGGTACCTAAATATATGAGTAATGAGCATAATCAATAATTTATTTGATATGTCTTGAACAAACAGAGCCTTTGGTATACATATCCCAGAAAGTGGGAAATAAATAACTTGGTAAGAACTGGGTAAGAAATCCTGGTACAAGCCAGAAAGCTTTCAATTCTTTGCTTTTGACAAAAGTGGAGATCCTAATCAAGTTACTAGCTTTCAGATCATTAAAAATGATTAACAAAATGATTTAATCAATCAACGAATATGGGGAAATACGTCAATCACCTGCGGAGAAGAATTTGAAATAATTTATGCAGATGTCCTTGTCTCTACAAGATAAAATCCACCACACCTCTTATAAATCTGCCACCTCTGACTTTCTTCCTTCCAAAGAATACAGATGGAAAGGGAGGAAAAGAATAACTTAGATCTCAACCAGGTAAAAAATGTTAGCACCAACAGTGATAAATCATGTTGATAGTATGTACCCTTGATATGATATGAAAATGTACGGCTGACCCTTGAACAACGTGGGCTAGAAGTGCCAATTCCCCATACAGTCAAAATCCACAGATAACTTTTGACACCCCTAAAACTTAAACTATGTGTCCGTCAGTGTTCACAGAGGACTGATTCCAGGACACCCTCCTCAGCCCCTACAGATAACTCAAATCTGCGGATGCTCAAGAGCCTTATATAAAATGTGGAAAACAATGAAAACAATGAATGCAATACAGTTGGCTCTCCAAATCTGCAAATTCCCAAAAATACTGCTTTTGAGCTGTGGTTGCTTCAATCTGTGGACGCAAAACCCAGGGATACAGAGAGCCAACTATAAATTTATTGAAGAAAACATACCCACTATTACTGACCTCATGCAGTTAAGTCATATTGTTCAAGGGTCAACTGTACTTTACCTTTGTGGTCTTCTTCCCCTCTACTCATTACCCAAGTCTAATAATCAGAAAGGCAATAGAAAAATACCAATTGGGAAACATTCTACAAAATATTTAATCAGTACTCCTCAAAATTGTCAAGGCCATAAAAAATAAGGAAAGTCTAAGAAACTGTCACAGTTGCCTAAGGAGACATGCCTATTAAATACAACGTACCTTGCATGACATTCTGGAGCAGGAAATACCATTTCCTTAGATAAAAACTAAGGAAATATGAAAGAATATGGCCTCCAGTTAATGTATTAATATTGGTTCACTAATTATAATAAATGGAACCATGCTAATGTTAAATGTGAATAAAGTAAATTGGCAGGTGCAGGGTATATGGAAGTTACCTATACTTTCTTCACAATTTTTCTGAAAATCTAAAACTGTTTCAAGATTTTAAGTGATATAAAAAAAAAAGAAATAATAATAACAAAACTACAATGATACATCACACCCACTCATTATAATGACTATAATTTTTAAAAGTCCAGATGATAAATGTTCATGAAGACCTAGAGAAACTGGAATTCTCACACACTGCTTGGTGGGAATGTACTCCTTAGTGCAGCCATGCTAAAAAAAAACACAAAACATGCTGGCATTTCCTCAAAAAGTTCAAACACTGAGTTACCATATGACCCAGCAATTTCATCCCCAGGTATATATCCAAGAAAACAAGTATATGTGTACATGTAAAAACTTGTACACAGTGTTCTTTGTGGCATTATTAATAATTGCCATAGAAATAACCCAAATGTCCATCAACTAATGAATGAATAAACAAATTGTGGTATAAACATTCAATGAAATATTATTTAGCTGTAAAAAGGAATGAAGTATGATACATACTACATTGAAAAATTAAGCAAAATTCAGGAAGAAAGACACAAAATACTACATATTATAAGATTCCATTCATATGAAATGTCCAGAAGAGGTAAATTCATAGAGATAGAAAATAGAATGGTGATTTCTTAGTTGGAAGGGTGGGATGGGGTTGAAGGGTAATGGAGTATAAATGCTAACAGGAATAAGTTTCTTTAGGGATGATAAAAATGTTCTAAAATTAATTGTGGTAACATCTGGACAACACTGAGTCTATTAAACACCTGTGACTCATATACTTAAAAAGAGGAAATTGTATGTCACAGAAATTATCTCTCACTACAACATTTTTTAAAAAAGGACTGACAACAGATCACTGTGATTTTTGCCAGATAACTTAGAGGACTTAAAAGAACTTGGTCTGACTGCTCTATTTATTCCATTATCATGTAGAAGTGAGGTTTCCTACTAATTGCATCTAATATATATGTTAATATATAATGCATATTATTCATACATACATATAAAATCTAAGCTGTATTCTGCCTCATTCTAGCAATATAATAATTATTCATGGCTACATGAACTAACTGAAAATAAATGTCTATCAATCTGATTTAAAATGCATTTCTATGCAGATCAAAACCACCATGAGGTACCACCTCACACCGGTCAGAATGGCCATAATAAACAGATCAACAAACAACAGGGGCTGGCGAGGCTGTGGAGAAAAGGGAACCCTAGTCCACTGTTGGTGGGAATGCAGACTGGTGCAGCCATTGTGGAAAGCAGTGTGGAATTGCCTCAAAAAGCTGAAAATGGAACTGCCTTATATATCCAGTGATTCCCCTGATGGGACTATACCCTAAGAATCCCAAAACGCCAATTCAAAAGAACCTATGCACCCCAATGTTCATAGCAGCACAATTTACAATAGCCAAGTGTTGGAAGCAACCTAAATGCCCATCAGTAGGTGATTGGATCAAAAAACTATGGTACATTTACACAATGGAATACTACGCAGCAGAAAGAAAAAAAGAACTACTAAACTTCGCAACAGCATGGATGGACCTGGAGAGCATTATGCTAAGTGAAATAAGCCAGGGGGCGAAAGACAAATACCATATGATCTCACCTGTAAGCGGAACCTAACCAACAATACAAAGATGCAAGGAAAATAAGACCAGCAACACTGAAAGGAAAAGAAACCAACAGAGACAAGAGAGAAGGAGGGGGGAGGGGTGGGGGGGAAGGGCAAGTCAAGGAACAGATAGCAAGGACTCATGGACAAAACCAAAGGGGAAAGGTTGAGGGGGGGAGGGGGGAGGGGGGCAAGGGAAAGTGGTTGGGGGAAGGCAGAGACAAATGTATTTGAAAAAAATAAATTAATTAATTTAAAACAAACAAACAAACAAACAAAAGACTAAGAATCATAGAATAAAGCAACCAATCCAAACACGGAAGTCATGAGATCCCAGTCACAGATATAACTGATGATAATGTAAGGGGAAAAATTCACACTAGAAAACTTCTTCCAAGGTGAACATAGAGAATGAGTAACATACGCATTATTGCTCCATAAATAAGACTTCCAAATGATGCATACAAGCTACTTAAATCTCTAACGAAAGACAAAATAACCAAATATACAAAGGATTATTTGTACTTGTTAAAAAATAACATCTACTCTTGAGGACCACTTAAAAACCAGATTATTTCTTATTAACCCCTTACCTGACATTCTGAGTAGGATTCCACCTTTCGGAGGGCAGTTCACCACTCTGTGGGTCATCCACAGGTGGATGGAGAATTGAAATGCAGACGTCTCCATTCTACAAGACACAAACCACATTCAGTACTTAAAAATATGATGGAAAAAAGGGACATCAGTTCTACTGAAATTTCTTTTCCTACAAAACTTGTTTTATCATTAGAAAACAATTCTGCTTTCTTTTCACATTTGGAATCAATATTAAAGAAGAATTGAACATTTTTTATAAGTATTACCTTTGACCAATCTCCAAGATATATTTCTTAGTTAAAAAAGAAACACTGTATGTCTGTGACACCATCCTTCTAAAAAATCATTTCAAAACAGAAACAGACTAACTTGATAAATCAAGATTCAAGAGTGTTGGGAAGCAACTTAATATCTCTATTTTCAGATACAAACCGTATGTAAAGTACATAAAAAGAAACCCTGTCCTTGCTTAAAATCTGCACAGAGATACTATAATCACCTTTAATATCAATCACTGGTTTTAATAAGTATGGCTTATATAAACTGAAAATACACCTCACAACAACTTTATAACTCCTTCAGTATATGTGATAGAAGAACTCACCACTACAGTTTTAATATTTTAGTTTGTAAAATTTTTTATCCTCACCCGAGGACACATTTATTGATTTTATAGAGTAGGGAAAGGGGTGAGGAGAGAGAGAAACATCAACTTGAGAAACATTGATCATGCCCCAACCAGGGACCGAACCTACAACCCAGACAAGTGCCCTGGCTGGTAATCAAACCTGCGACTATCAGATTCACAGGACGATGCTCCAATCAGCTGAGCCTGTGCCAACCAGGGTTGGTTTGTAAATTTAAATTATAAGACCTAATCCACAGGTGAATTTAGTTTAAGTCAAACACAGACTGCTTACCATATGCAAAAAGAGACTGCTGTTCAATAGAAAAGACAAGACTGAGTTAGATACAGTCACTTGTCTCTTGGTCTCTAAAATGAGAAAGACTCAAACTTTTATTTAAATAGATTTCATTTATTTTTACAGAGAGGGGAAGGACACGAGAAAGAGAGGAAGAGAAACATCGATGTAAGAAACACTGATTGGATGCCTCTTGTAGGCATCCTGACCGGGGACCTGGCCCACAACCCAGGCAAGGAATCAAACTGGCAACTGTATGGTTCGCACGCTGGAGCTCAATCCACTGGGCCACACCAGCCACAAAAGTAGAGGTGTAACTATATGATGTGCAAAATTCTTACATTAATAACCCAAATTTAGACACACACAAATATACAACCATATCAAGACAACAGAACTTTTTAAAAAGACTAAGACCAATACCAAATAATACATTCTAAAACTCTATTATTGTTAGCTGTGACTGGTATGGCTCAGTTGGTTGGGCATCATACCACAAAGCTGGTTCAATTCCAGGTCGGGGAACATGCATGCGTTGTGGGTTGGGTCCCCCTTAGGGCACATACGTGAAGCAGCCAATTGATGTTTCTCTCTCTCATATCAATGTTTCTTTCCCTATTTTTCTCCCTGCCTTCCCTTCTCTATAAAAATAAAACCTCTTTCTTTTTTTAAGAAACCTCTATTATTGTTAGATGCCATGAGAAAGGTAAAAAAAAAAAGCATGACAGAAACTATACGAAACGAGGTGTATTTGGACAGCAGACATCTAAGAGGTGGATGGAAGAATAAAAGCCTTAGTGGCTGAGGAACCTTTGACATGGGCCCTAAATAATCAGTACAATTTTAAACAACCCAAAGGAAATTTGGACATGAGTTTGCTTGTAGAAATAAACTAATATCATAAAAGACTGGATAAAATATGCTTGGGTAGTTGTATTTGCTTTGTACTGCTATTGTAAGGAATTACCACAAAATCAGTGGCCTGAAATAACACAAATTTATATTTTTCAGTTTTTTAAGTCAAAGTCTGACACTGCTCTCACAGAGCTAAAGTCAATGTGCTAGCAGCAATGCATTCCTTCCTGTAGGCATTAAGAATCCCTTTCCTTGTCCTTTCTAGCTTTAAATGGCCACCCATATTCCTTGGCTCTTGGCACCCTTCCTCTTATCCTCAAAGCAAGCACTACTGTATTTCTATGGAACTTCTTTTCAAAGTCACGTCTCCTCTCACTCTCATTTGTAATTATACTGGGCCCACTTGGATAATTCAGAATAATTTCTTTGTTTTAAAGTCAACTGATTAGCAAACTTGATTCCTCTATAATATGTAACTCAATATATACAAATTCCAGGAAGTAGGAATGGACATCTCCGAGGAACCATTATTCTACTTATCCAAGTAGTGAAGAACCTAGTTTGAATGAAAAATAAAAGGCATACAAATTGGAAAGGAAGAAATAAAACCATTTTCATATTCAAATGACAAAAAAATTCCAAAAATTCACAACAAAGCTACCAATAAACAAGTAGAGCTAATAAAACAAATTCAGCAAAATTGCAGGATACAAGATCAATACTCAAAAGTCAGTTCTTTTTCTATACACCAGCAATGAATATCCTAAAAAGGATATTAAGAAAACAATTCCATTTGCAACAGCAATTAAAAGATTAAAATATACCTAGGAAGAAATCTAACCAAAGATGTTAAGGGCTTGTACAGAGAATATTACAAAACATTGCTCAAAGAAATTAAAGAAGACCTAAATAAATAGAACATCCTGTGTTCACGGGTAGGAAGATTTAATGTTAAGATGACAACATTCTCCAATTTCATGTTACAGACTGAACACACCCCTTTTTGCAGAAACTGAAAAACTGATCCTAAAATTTATACGGAAATTTAAGGGACCCACAATAGCTAAAAGAACTTGAAAAAGAGTAATAAAGTGAGAGGACTCCCACTTCCTGATTTCAAAACTAACTCAAAGCTATAGTCAACAAGACAATTGAGAACTGGCACAGTGGTAGACATATAGACCAAAGAAATAGAACTGAAAGTCCATAAATATGCCTATATGTCTATAGTCAATAGGTTTTTGACAAGGGTGCTAAGTCCATTCAATGGGGAAATAACAGTCTCTTCAACAAATGCTGCTGGGACAACTGGATTTTTAAAAACAAAAAAATGAAACTGGGCTCCTATCAAACACCACATGCAAAATTAACTCAAATGGAACAAAGATTTAAGAGCAAAAATTGTAAAACTCTTTTAACAAAACAGCGGTAAATCTTCAAGACCTTGAATTTGGTAACAGATTAGATAAGACATCAAAAATATAAGCAGCAAAGAAAAAATAAACTAGACTTCATTGAAATTAAAAACTTTTGTGCAAAGGACTTAAACAGTCATTTCTCCAAAGAAGATGTGTAAGTGGCCAATAAAAATAAGAAAGATGTTCAACGTCATTAGTCATGAAGGGAAATGAAAATCAAAATGAGAAAGACAGAGGGGAGGGGAGGGGAGGGAAAGAAAAGGAAGGAAGGGAGGGAGGGGGAAAATAGCAAGTGTTAGTATGTGGAGAACATTAAACCCTCATACATTATTGTGGGGGAACATGAAATGGTTCATCTGCTGTATGACAGTTTGGCAGTTCCTCAAAAAGTAAAACATAGAATTACCATTTATCCCCACAATTTCACCCCTAGGGATATACCAAAAGAACTGAAAAAGGTACTTAAACAAGTACATGTATACATATGGTCATAGCAGCACTAATTGCATATCCAAAAGGTGGGGACAAATCAAATTCTCATCAACAAATGAATGGATAAACAAACTGTGATACACACACAGACACAACGGAATATTATTTGGCAATAAAGAGGAATAGTGTTGATATATGCTACATGGGTCAACCTCCAAAACATGGTAAGTGAACACCATACACAAAAAGTCACAGGTGTCCTTTATATGATTCCATTTATATGAAATATCCAGAAGAGATTAAATAGAGACAGAGAGCTGACTGATGGTCGTCAGAGACTAGAGAAAAATGGAAATAGGGAGAAATTGCTTAAAGGGTAAGGTGTTTTACACTGGAGAGATAGAAATACCATACAGAGGTGGCAGTTGCACAACTACAGGACTATATTAAATGCCACTGGAAGAGCCCTGGCTAATGACGGAGTTAGCTGGAGCGTCAGTCCCATGCACCAAAAGGTTGGGGTTTGATCCCATCAGGGCACAAGCAGGAGGCAACAGATCCATGTTTCTTTCTCTCTCTTCCTCCCTCCCTCCCTAAAAATCAATAAAACATGTCCTCAGGTGAGGATTTAAAAGGGGGGGGGGGAGCGGGGAATGAGGAGGAGGAGGAGGAGGAGGAGGAGGAGGAGGAGGAGGAGGAAGCGGAAAAGGAAGAGGAGTAGGGGAAGAAGATGATAATGATAATGGGAAAGCTCTAGGCCTCCAGAAATGCAGTTCTATAATGTAAAATGAAGGCTATTTAGCCTTGGCTCCATCCAAATCCAATTAAACTGAAATCTTTAGTGTTATTTTTAACATCACTACATGATTCTGATATGCAGCCAAATTTGAGCACATCACTGCCTAGAGAAACTTCTTCCCCATATCTTACAGTTACAATGCAGAAGATCTGCAAATCCATGTACATAATTACAAAAATAAACATTAAATCCTGCCTGGCACAAATTACTGGGCTGGCCAAAAGGCTCGTTCATTTTTTTCCCATAAGATGGCTTTAATAGTGCATACTGGCCTTTAATTTCATTTGAAACTATTTTCTTAGATTGTATTGTGATATGTGTCGTATCAGTGTGCATTAAAAAGAAACACCAAAATTGGTTAATTTTTGTGTATTGATTTTAATATTGAAGATGGAAGAAAATATGCAATGTTTTTGGCATATTATGCTTTATTATGTCAAGAAAGGTAAAACCGCCAACTGAAACAGAAGACTTGTGTAGTGTATGGAGAAGGTGCTGTGACTGATTGAATGTGTCAAAAGTGGTTTGCTAAGTTTTGTCCTGGAGATTTCTCTCTAGATGATGTCCCACAGTCAGGTAGACCAACTGAAGTTGACAGAGATCAAATTGAGATATTAACTGAGAAAAATGAATGTTACATCATACAGGTGATAGCCAACATACT